AAGGGCACCGGTTTGGATGGACGATTATGTCAGTGGAGAAGGGGCGCTAAGTGATGAAGAACAAAGGGAGAATGTTGCTATGTTCTCATCATTAGTAGAACCTGCAAATTTTCAAGAAGCTGCACAAGATGAATGTTAGAGGCATGCAATGAGGCAGGAAATTCAATCAATCGAGAAGAACAACACCTGGGAATTGTGCGACTTACCCCCAGGTGCAACAGCGATCGGAGTCAAATGGGTTTTTAAGACCAAATTAGACAAAGACGGGAAGATTGATAAGCACAAGGCTCGACTTGTGGTGAAGGGATACGCTCAAAGGCATGGTCTTGATTATTCCGAAGTCTTTGCTCCGGTGGCCAAGTGGGATACAATCAGAACCATTTTTGCTTTTGCTGCACAACGAGGTACGAAAATTCATCAACTAGATGTAAAGAGTGCCTTTCTATATGGCATGTTAGAAGAGACTGTCTTTATAGAGCAGCCTCAAGGTTATGAAGTGCAGGGGAAAGAGGAAAAGGTTTATCGGTTGAAAAAGGCCCCGTACGGTTTGAAGCAGGCTCCGAGGGTCTGGTACGGGAGGATAGAGGGTTACTTTCTCAAAGAAGGATTCAAGAAATGTCCTCATGAGCCGACTTTGTTTGTGAAATCGACAAAGGAAAGCGATGATTTTCTAATTGTCTCTATTTATGTAGACGATTTGATTATAACAGGAACAACACTTGCCTTGATCAAGAATTTCAAAGCCTCTATGAAGTCTGAATTTGACATGTCAGACATGGGAGAGATGTGCTACTTCCTGGGTGTCGAGGTTAATCAAACTGAAGAAGGGATTCATCTAAGCCAGCGTAAATATGCTCGTGAAATTCTCGAAAGGTTTAATATGGAAGATTGCAATGGTGTGAAAAATCCCATAGTCCTAGGTTGCAAGCTGGTTAAAGATGATCAAAGTGGTCTTGTTGACTCAACTGTGTATAAGCAAATGGTAGGCTGCGTTATGTGTTTGGCAGCAACAAGGCCATATATAATGTTCATTGCAGGTCAATTGTGTCGATACATGGAAGCACCCACAGAGCAACACATGGCAGCAATGAAGAAGTTACTTCGATATATCCAGGGAACTAAAGAACTTGGTATATTTTATTAAAGGGGGGGGGGCAGTGATCGGTTGGTTGCGTACTTTGACAGTGACTATGTAGGTGATTATGATAATCAAAGAAGTACATCGGGTTATGTTTGTTTTTTAAGTGGAGCTGCAATTGTGTGGTCCTCAAAACGGCAACCAATTGTGACTCTYTCCACCACTGAAGCRGAATTTGTGGCTGCCACAGCTTGTGCATGTCAAGTGTTGTGGCTAAGGAGGATGTTTGAGCACATTGGCTTAGCTCAGAAGGAAGGGACTGTTATTAACTGTGATAACATGTCAACTATCAAGCTTTCGAAGAATCCAGTGATGCACAGTCGAAGCAAACACATAGATGTGAGGTACTTCTTTCTTCGTGATTTGGTAAATGATGGCGTTATAGAGCTGAAGTATTGCAACACTCTAGCTCAAGTTGCAGACATTATGACAAAGCCACTGAAGGTTGATCAGTTCGAGAAGTTGCGTGCTATGCTCGGTATGATTGATACATCAGAATTAAACTAAAGACTAGAAGTCTTTAGTTTAGGAGAAGATATGTTGGAGTGAGTGGTGGTCACGTGCAGTCTTAGTCACATTTATTTTTTTAATAAGCCCCCTGCTTTGCAGGATAGTTAGCTTTCTTTTGAATGTTTCCAGTGGTCTTCCAAGTTTATAGGAGTTTGTTAGCTTTCTWCTRTTCAATTGGTTTTCCTTGTATTCCTATTTAAATAGCCATTCTAGCAGATGAATAATATGAAGTTTTCCAGCACCAACACTTGGGTATTACTATTTCTTCATTGTGTGTGACTGTGTGATACCAAACAGGGAGTCTGTTAAATAGAGTAGAGGTTAGGAGGTGAGGGTCATTCTGCATTTTGTTTTGTGAATTGTATTGGTCGGGAAACTGATTTGGAAGAGTCCAGGCCTCTGAAAACCTGTGGAAACTGTAATCCTTTAGCAAATTCAATCGAATCACCATGAATGTACAACAAATGGTATCAGAGTAGTTCGATTCAGAGAGGATGACGACTAGATTCGTAGATTTTGAAGAGCAGTGAAGATTTGGAATACGTGGAGAGTGAAACTTTAGGAACACTTTGGATCTATATACAAGGATATGCAGACAACGATGTAGATGATGGATATGATGATCAAATTACAAGAAGACACGTTGAAGATAACCTTTCAAAAGGACTCGAATTCTGGTCTTGGCAAAAATTCATATGAGAGTGAATACAATATTAAATCCGGATCCAGATCCATATTTGAATCCAAATCCGAATCCAGATCTGAAAAAGGATCCTTAATCATATCCAAACCTGAATCCAAATTCTGTCTGAAATTTCCATGGATGAGGAAGCGATGATGAGAAGAAAAAGAAGAAAGAAGAAAGAAGAAAAATCGGACAGAGAAAGAAGAGAAGAAATTACTTGCATTAGAAGCTGCTTTCAATGGGGAAGAAATTTCTTTGGTGACATTGATAGTCCGTTGAATCGTACAAGGGGGACTAGGGGAGAAATAAGAAATCAGGCAAGCCATTCAAGCCCAATCTGTTGAATCTATTTTGGCCCTGGCCCATACAAGTTTGTACAACTTGGCCCAAATCCAGAAATTACCGTAATGGATCTGAAAAATCCACGCCTAATTTGACAACTTTGTCTTTGGGCAACGAATACAGAGTTTGGTGGGGGCGATGGTCGTGGAAAACTGCCGCTAACGTTCCCAGCGCCACCGTTGCCAATACCGCCATGGCCACCACCATGCGCAATAGATGTATACAGGGAGTGGTTTCATAGGAAACTTCAACATCCCTTTTGCAGTCGTACATGTGAAATTTTATGTGAAGCTTCTGTTAATGTCTACGTTGCAATTCATCCCTTCAATGAGAAAGATGATGAGCAGATTAAGAGGGACGGAATCATGAAATTTGTAATGCCCCTTTTTACCTTCAATTTTCTACTTCTACAATGGGGTCAAGTATTCGTTCACTCCAAAATGTCATTAGGGAAGACAAAGTTCTGTCAAGGCTTCTGGTTGATATTATCTTGTCTAGATATGGAGAACATTTGGCACCTAAGAAACTTGATCATAGAGTTGTGTTGTCCCCACTGGGTGGTTCTCTTACATTTGCATCAACCATGAGACTCCTGATACAATTCAAGCTCAGATGGTATTGAAAGCCGGTTAACGGTTTCCAAATATATTGAAGAAGCACGATTGAGATCAAAATTGGAAGCTGTTTTGAAAGGAAATGGGCGCTTATTGGCTGTGACCAATCTGAAGCTAGGAAGTCCGGAGTTGGTCGCCAAAATTATGGTGGCAGGCTTCTTGGAATGAAAGACACAAGTTTCTTAAGGTGAAAGGGTGGCCTATCTTTTCTTGAAGCTAATTGGAAAGATTATGTTAGAGGGTCTCAAGTCTCAACAGTTCAATGTCTTCTTTTGGAATTTGGCTTTAGAAGGAAAAGGTAGCTTGTTGGCTACACATCTAGTTGTGAGGGAGTTCACACATTGGTAGTGTATCAGTTCCTTTTCTTTTTCTTTCCACCTTTAGGACAAGGTGAACGTTATTGTTATACCCTGGATGCTTTGGATGTTGCTATTAGATACATATGCTAGGAGGAGGAGAAAGGGTCAGTAGTGGTAGTAGTTTATAAAGATGTGCAGGGGCATTATAGGACTTTTGAGTAGTCTGTTGTATAATAAGGGAAAGCGCATTAGGGAGCCTGCCTGTTAATAGAGGAGAGGTTAGGAGGCGAGACAATTTTATTTTATTCCTCCGAATAAAACATGATTTCTAATAATGAGGTCAATTTTGTAATTTAATATAAGTTGCCCTACCTCAGAAGTCCATTGATGAGAAGGGACTGGGGAAAGCTTGAACCCAATTCCTGTATTCTGTTTTGTGAATTGCATTGGCCGGGAAACCAATTTGGGAGATCCCAGGCCTCTCGAAAGCCTGTGGAAACTGTAACCCTTTACCAAATTCAATCGATTCACCATGAATGTAAAAAGATGGATGGATGTTGACACCTATGTGGTCAAGGCCCTAACTCTCATACCATGTATTTAGGGTCAGAAACTTATTCAAATGGGAAGAATCCCAATAGATAAAACATACTTAATGAATACTGATGAAACTAATGATACATCTAATAGTCGTCAAATTGCATCCAGATGGTTTCTTTTCATCCAAAAAGCTTGTCAAATGACTAAAGCCTATAGATATCCTCAAAAAATTTAGATCAAGTATGGGGTGCTTTCATCTGTCACTAATAGGATATCAAGAATGTGTTTCTTAATGGCTTTCTTGATTATGAGGCTATCAAGGACCAACAACGAAATTTGATGATCCAATAGGAATTCTCTATTCATTTCTCTCTACATGGCTTTCTTGATTATGAGGCTGTTAAGGACCAACAAAGAACTATTGCCTTAGTATGTGAAGTCTGTTATGAACCCAAATCAAGGATCAAACAAACACTGAAATGAACAGGTAGATTGCTGGAATTTCAACAGTAAACAAAAGGGTTTCTGGCTTGCATTAGTTGGCAGACCTGATAAACTAATGAGACTATATCATATAAGCAGCCTTTTTGTTAGATAGAACCAATATGATGCCCCTAAAATACCATGAATAAACCCCCTGATCCCAACTTAGGTGCAATTGTCCAATAAGGTCAGACCAATTAGCTATTTATGTGCACATTAATATTTTTATCACAAATTCAATATTAAGTCATTGTTATCAAATTTGATGTAGTTATTTAAATTTTTATTTGACGTCCAAAGTTAGATCGTGCATCCGTTTTTGAATCAAAGGAGTATTTCTATGAAATGAACTCCAAAATGGCAAATCATCAATTGAAATATCGACTTACAGCACTTGAATCTTGGCCAACAACAAAAACCATCATATCTGGATCAAACTTTCTAACAGCAGGGGCAACCACCTTTGTCATTGCATACTTGTAACCCTTGTCCCCTGTTCCATTTGGTAAGGGTAGATTCAGATTATAGCCAAATCCTGCTCCCTCACCAAGCTCATTTATAGTTCCACTTTGAGGATGAGATGTCCCCCACGAACCATGATTCATATGCAGGGAAATGGTAAGAACTTTGTCAGAGTGGTAGAATCCCTCTGCGGTTCCATTCCCATAATGAACATCGATATCAATAACGGCAACCTTCTTACAACCAGAATCCAAAGCATATTGAACAGCAAGGCCGGCATTGTTTAGAAAGCAATAGCCATCAGCTTGAGTAGGCTGAGCATGATGACCAGGAGGCCTAACCAGTGCAAAACACATTTTCGCATGCCCATCAAGTATATATTTAATTGCTGAAAGTGTAGTGCCAGCAGCTAGAAGTGCAGCATTCCATGATCCAGGATTCAGAAATGTCCCACTACAAAATGTTTTTCCTCCCTTTTTATCTGCTTCGAGTAGGGAATCGATATATTCTGTGTAATTAACATTGGAATTTAACATCACATGCATGATTCAGTCACCAATCAAAATAAGAAAATAGCTAAATGAAGTCCTAGGTCTTGCTTGAATGCGAGTTTCAATCGGGGCAGGGGAGAAATTCAGTAGAGAATGATGGATCGGAAGATAGAATTGACAAACAATTTGAAGACATTGATGATAGTTTGAAACAACCAATCAACATGATAAACTAGAATATATTATGCAATAATATGTGAAACTCAATTTAATTAGTCATGCTTGCCAATTCTATGTCAAGTAGATATGGCATGCTTCATTTGAGTTGATTTTGAAACATAACCTAAGTTCCCAAAATCCTGGTGAACCTTTTGGTTCAAGTATGCAACATAAAACCTAATCCATAGCCAGTATCAGATCATTCTCAGCAAATGATTGCGAAGTTTCTCCCAAATTAGGTTTTACAGTTCATTATAAGATTCGATTATATATTTTTCAAATTCAAAATTGATACGAGTTCTATATGGAAATCGTTTATTCATCGTAATACTTGGTTTACACTTGATTTGATGTTCAAATCTTGCTCAAACATATTGATTTTAATGTTGAATTGTTGCCTTGTAACTCTGAAAACTTGGACTTCAATTCATAGTGCATTCTATTTTCTTTGTTAAAGTAAAAAACAATGGCGGGCCAATCCTTTACCCATACAATATGCGTGATATACTCGATTGAAGGTTACCTGGAGTATGGAAAGAGCGCAATTCAGAGAGTAGAGCAGGCCTGGAGGGATGCCATGAAATGAAAGGGGAAATAGGACCTCTTTTGAGGATGGAGAGCATGTTTCTGATCCTATCGGCGTTCTCGGGATGCTTTTCGAGTGCGTCCAGAAAACCAGGGTCCATTCCGGTATCGAACACTCCTTTGCCGGTCTCATGGTCCAGCATACCGTCGTCCCAGAATACGTTTATGTGATCCGTAGATGGCGATGGAGAAGATGATGAATGTTGAAGGGGAGGACCTTTGCGTTGGTGCTCTTGCTGCTGGTCTGCCATGGTGATGGGCAGAGAGAGAGAGTCAGACAAACCTCTAACACAACATTAGATTGCGTCTGGAGCGAATCGCGCAAAAACCTCTAATTTTATGAACTAAATTTGAATTATTTATTTTTTTAGTAAAATATTGATCTTTTAATTATTTATTCATTATTTAAGAAGGGTCTCGAAATACGATAATCTTTAACACCTCACGAATGCTTTATCATTATGATCAACATGACACATGACATGATATAAGAAAAACTAGACGATAATAAGGCATCGACGTAAGAATCGTAAAATCGTCACCCATCTGCGGGTAATAGCAAGGAGTGAAGAAGGAATGATCCTCCAAACTAAAAGAGTGATTGAGTCCGACTCAAGCGAGTGAGTGAAAGGCGTGGCAAGAGAGCGAGTTCGACTCGCGAACGATCAGCAARTGAAGGACCGATCCTTTTGTTTTGCGCCACCAATACTGTTGCGAGACTGGTACTTGGCGGCTCACGAGCAATATATAGACTAAGGTTGCCCATTACTCCCTAAGACCTTCATAATTAATATCAATCAAAAAAGTAACCATCTTATTTAAAATAATAATCAATCCTCATGGTCATGGTTATGACATTTAAACAAAACAATAAATATGTGTTAATATTCATAAGGATTGACATTAAATATCGTAATTATAACTCCTGCAATGTCAAAGTACAAATATAGAGGCCTCAAGCCAACAAAAAGAAGAGATGACTTGACATCTACAAATTGCCTCCAAAACATCCTTTAAAGCTTATATTGTAGTTTCTCACGACTTACAAATCACGATTCACGACCATCTTTAGTTTCTCATGACCAGATTGTACTCACAACACTATTGCAAAAGGACGACACCCTTATTTGGTGTCATTAGTCCTTAGTCACAAGGGGCGCTGTCATGACCTCCCACGGTTTTTTCCGCTCTTTTGGGATTTTCTGTGTCTCCAAATTTTCTTATTATTTGTTGCTAATTTGTTTAAAGTTACAAATTTTTGTCGTTGTCCAAATATCCCGACCTTAGATTGCTTTGTGCGATTTTTGACTAAACCAGTTACTTACTTTTGGATATGAAAATGCAAATTTTATTGTATTTTGATATTTTTAATTAAAGAAAATTATAACTTCCTTTTCCAGAATAAACTTAAAACATATACATAATCCGCATCTAGTACATCCCATTCGATATTCTTTTTCCTTTTGTGACTTTCAATCTTACATCGTTTTCATGTTAAACATCTTACACAATGTATATGGCGGTCCTTGCGACATATGCTACACATATCGAAAATCTTATCATAGTAAGAGACCGGGAGAATCCAAGAGCCCCAAAAGCCCAAGGCCCATATTTTGACATTAAAATATATATATATAGATGAGTGATCATATAAAAGCCGTCCTCATTTGTGTAAACCGTACAAACCACCTTCATCTGTCGATTTCATTGTTTAATCTTATGAAATTTTTTCATGAAATTGTTTAATCTTGTGAAATTKTTTCATATAATAYTTTTTTTGATGAAGTTGTTTCATATATGGTTGTGAAATTSTTTCATATAATACTTAATGAAACTGTTTCATGTATTTCTCTAACATTAATGAAACTGTTTCATGTATTTCTCTAAAATTAAAATAATGAAAATGATAATATCTATTATTAACACCCTCCACAATAAAAATGATTAATCAACCTCTCATAATTACAAAAAAATAAACAAAATGAAAAATTATGATTGGTTGAATGCGGTTTGCACGGTTTGTACAAATTGAGTGTTGCACGGTTTGTACAAATTGAGTGGTTTGCATTTGATCGCTCCCCCTATATGCCAAGCTTCCCCTACTAACCTAATCCAAGATCCTTAGATGGGCTTGTGTTCTAATTTGATAAGGCCTATGGAGCTAGCCTTACAAGCTTCTCAAATGTTCCCTTCCCATCCTATGTGGGAACAAATACCTAAACAATATCCCAACACACATAACCATCTTCTTCAATTACTATGTTTGACAACTTGGCACAAATCATTTGCCAAGTTGCTATGAGTGTATTGAGTAGGGGTGTTCAAAAACCGGACTAATTCAGCCAACCCGAAGTAACACAAGATCTAATTGAGCTGTAAAATTTTCATATCATAGATATTGGGTTGGAATTGAGTCACAATCATTGGAATCCCACGCAAGCTGATGAACCCGATATCATTTTATTCCGTTCATTTAATATGATTGTTAAGTCGCTTATCCCTATTAAAACATGTACATTAGACAATTACACCATTACGATTCATGTACTCTCTTCATATACATGTATTTTCGATCTTTTTCACCATCTCTTTATAACTCTTTCGTATATATGTTCACAAAATGTGAATATACATGTGTGTGCATGTGTGTATAGGGTTGGGTTCACGTGAGACCAAGAGTTTTCCGTGAGACCCGTAAGACCAATTTATATTCATTGATCAAATTTATAAACTAATGATCTAATGGTCTAAATTTGCAAGGTGACAATTTCGTAATTATTGAGAAGTCTCGTGGCGTTTATAAATGTTCATATCTGACGATTGTAAATCTAATCCAAGGGTTGAGAATTGGTCTTACGGGTCTCACGAAAAACCATTGGTCTCATATGATCCCAAGTCTGTGTGTGTGTGTATATATATATATATATATATCTAGAAAAGTAGTTGAATATGATCAAATTAAGATTTAAGAAATATGGACAAGCTGTACCTAAGGTTCTAAATGACATAAGGCGTGGCGTGACGGCGAGGTCAAACCTCAAGCCTTGCTAGTTAAGGCGAGAATACAACGTTTTTCAAGGCATTTTCTTATATCACTAGGCAAACCAAATTTGTGCCCTAAGACAGCATGTACACATACTTGCGTGTGTTGGTGTTTTTAGTAATATTAACTAATTAAATTCATATGAAGTAATAAAACTAAAAAAGAAAGAATAACCATTGATAAAAAAAATGATATCAAGAGTGTAAAATCGGGATTAAATCTCTTCAATTCCTACTCACTACTTTCTTCAATTTTCAAAGAATTTATGCTCAACTTTTCACGTATGGGATTGGGAGTAAGTATTTATCTATTTAAGATTTTAGTTTTTGAGTTCCCTTTTGATGTTTATTTAAGTTTAAGTCTCGTACATAATCATCATTTATCTCTTAAATTATATATTAAAAATCACCACACACCTTACAAAATAACAGGTCGTAATACGCCACAACATGTTACAAAGCAAGTCAAACCTTATTAGACCGGAGCCAAAGGGTTAACGTGGCGACGAACCCAAGCTTAAAGCCATAACACGCCATAACGAGACCATAATAAGCTATTTAGAACTATGGTTGTACCAAATGATTAATAATGAAATAAACTTATTAGTAGAGAAAACAATACATTCAAGGTAGGAGAATTTTTTGATGTACCAAAATATCAATCCCACCAACCCGTACGAGTTGGTTTGAGTTGAGATTTTTCAAACCGTAAATATTGGATTAGATTATTCAAATGCCTTCAATCCAATCAACCCAACCCATAAACACTCCTAATATTGAGTCACCCAACACATTACTTACTCGAAACAAGACCATTCTAGGCCGATCTCTTTCATTCTTTCTGCTTTACAACACTTGATAGCATGAATTTTTATCACTTAGGGCATCTCATGATCTTGCTACATCAAATTTCTTTTTCTATACATTCTATAAACTTTCTACAGTTAATCATAAACTCATCCATAACCTAAATGCTGATTATTTTTATATTATTTAAATGGGTAGAGTCCCATCATATTTATAAAGAACCTATTTATGTTTATGAACCTTTCCCCTTCCACTTCGACACAAGGTTCTAAATTACATGAGACGTGACATGATGACGACGCCAAACCTCAAGCCTTAGGAGCCACGACGAGACGACGACATTTTTTAAAGTGTGATTTATGATGGTAAATCTCTATATCATATATAATATTATATATGAAAAAACATATGTTAATGAGTTGATGATATTAAACAATTTAAATTAGGTTATATATTAAAAATCTAACAAATAAGATATTAAAAAGATAAGAAAAATAAAATATCATGTTACGAAAACCACACGTCAGGCCATGACATGCCACAAGCTTAACTTTGTATCATATACAAGTCTTGAGATAGAACTTGCCACGACGGCTATTGCATCGAGCCTTTTAAAACATTGCATGTACGGCTCCATCTCAATAGTATTAAAAATCTGTGAATGCGGTTCACCTGGTTTAAAAATCTCCCAATTGGAGATGCTCTTAACATCATACATAACACTTTAAACAACATATGGTGCTTTAAATGGATCAAAATGATGGAGCTTGACCACAAAATAAAAGAGACTCAATTTGATTAGGCGAACCAACATTTTGTTACGATAAGTTTAACCAACCAACATCTCGTTCACAATAAACCATACCATTCCAGCTTCAATTCCAGACGTTAAATAACTTAATTAATTTAATCTCAAAGACAAGTTTGAGGATATAAATTACATGTTTGATGAGGTTGCCCCAATGAAGTTCTTCTCCTTCAAGCTCTCCACAGTTTCCTGTATGCTTTGTTCAATGGGAATGTAATCAATACCCAAACTCTTTGCCTTTTCCTTTGACACTTGGTATATGGGAACAAAAGGCTTATCATCTGCACACCTGCATTCATACATTTATTTATGTTTTTCTTCAGCTTCAAGTATGTTGGCTACTTTTGCATTCACACTTTTTTACTTTTATTTTCACAAGAACGATAGTTTTTGCCAACAAAAAACCAGATGCAATGGTTGGACAGTCTAATTAACCCTAAATAAATCTGTTTTCAACCAAATAACTACACAACCAATCAATTTTTCCCATCCTACAAGAATTGCATTTATAAGACAATACAACCCAAAACCAAATAATTGACCTTGCACACATATTCATACAAGTTGCCGAATATATGTCAAATGCATAGAATCATCATGGCGAATCTTGCAGACTAAAATAAGCCAGACAAAACGAGCCCAATATATCCTACTCGGAGGTGGGGTGTTGTTAAAATATATTGTATTTTTGACAATCTTAACTTTTGTTCCTTTTCTGACAGGTTTATTTTTGATAAGGGTCGATTCTGTCAATAATTGAGTGTTGAAGGGCTAAAGGACTGCGCCTCACATTTGTGGATACATAAAAGGTAGCGGAGCTATTGTTCTATTCTTCGGGGTTTCTTTTGTAAATTTTTCCTTAAATATAAATAGGCTTTATTTCTCTAAAATTCTCAGTTTTCTCATATTCATTTTTTTGTATTCTCTCAAAACTCTCTCGTTTTCTTCTTAGCTACTCTAGCTAGGTTTGATATGTAATTAGGGTTCATATTTGTAATCTGTTTTAGTTAACAAGGAATAAATTCTTTTGGTTATCTTTTTGTACAGGTATGCAGACCTAATCCTAATCTCTACCCTTAAGAGTAGAGTGACTATTTTCATAAAAGACTGTCAGCTTGAAAAGATTGTGGACTAAAATGGCTCAACTAATTTTTTAATGATTTGCACATGGTGAATAGGATAGGTGGATTAACATTAGAGTTATCCACTAGAGTTGGTTTATAGTTATAGGTCAAATAGAAGAGATGAAAGTGTGTACATATGGAGCATTATATGAATGGAACTATGTCTTTCTATGCACGTTAGTACACAACAAATTCAACTTCAAGCTTCAAAAGTAGGAAAGCTTACTTGTCTGGAAGCTGAGATGAAGGATAAAGCTTGCGTAATATCTCAACTACTTGTGAATAGTGAGCAACTCTCTCCACCAAACAATATCTTCCAGTTGCTGAAGGAATTTCAAAAGCTTGGATGTGTGCATATGCAACATCCTTAACATTAACCCACCCAAAACTAGCATTTGCATACGTTTGCGACCCTGCACACAATAGCATAGTCATTAAACAAAGTTAAAAAAATATCTGATTAATTATGCACCCTTATATATGGCAAAGTTCAATGATCTTTTATCAAACAATACGTACCCTTCAATAGGTTTGCAATTGCTTCAGCACTAGTGTTAAGCACTGGTTGTAACAGAGGACCGATCACCATTGCTGGGTTTATTGTGACCATGTCAAACCCTTTTTCTTTTGCAAATTTCCAAGCAGCATCCTCAGCCAAAGTTTTGGACACCACATACCACATCTTGTAATAAGAGCATAAAAATACATTTTATACTCTAGGGTTTAGGAAGAAATAACTGGACCCCAAACCAAGGGAAGAAAGAATAGACAGTAATTCATTCAGAAAGAATTGAGTGCCAACATTATACTCAAGCAGACACCTATCGGATATTAAATAAATTTTATATGTGATTTAGCAGGCATGTATATTCAGTTCCACACAAACAATACTGTACTATTTGGGTGCGTTTGGTATGAGGGACAAGACGGGGCAAAACAAAAACTTACTGTCCTACATCTTGTACAACATTAGACTCGGACAGGACAGGATAAAGTGGGAAAAAATGCATTTTTTACGCCACCAAAACAGGTAGAACAAAAATCAGACAAATGAGACAAGATTGGCCAATTACTAAACTACCCATGTCAAATTAAAACCGTAAAACCTCACTATCGCCTGTCCAGCCCCGTCCTGACCCGTCTATGTACCCAACGCCTGTCAATGTGGCATATGTATTGCTAGCTCCTCCTGTGCACAATCAGCTTACAGCCCAACAAACTCGAATCAATCGAATTCATATGTCACCAAGCATATTGATGGAAAAAGTACATATGCACACCTTTGCTTCCTTGCAAAAATCTGGATCAGAAAACCAACTCTCATCAACTACAACTTCAGGAGTCCTTGGCTTACCATTGTAAGCAACTGCAGCAATAGAGGATGTCAAAACCACTCTTTTAACTGATGAAGTCTTTGCACATGAACCAAGAACATTGAGTGTTCCTTTCACTGCAGGATCAATCAACTCTGCCTGAAACCAAGAAAGAAGTGCTTGGCCATCAATACAAAAGAATTTCTAGTAAAAAAATATCATTTTCCTTGAGGCTGTCAAAATCAGTTTAGAACTTAAGCGCTTGTAAAACCAGTCATCAAAGGCACCCTACAATATTCCTCCTAAAATATTGTACTGAAATTGACATTTTCGTATTTAGAGAACTCGCACCCTATTCCATGACAATAGCAGCAAGTTGTAGATATGCAGTACATAATGATAACATGGGAAAAACCTGTGGATCAGTGACAGCATGATAAAAGGGAGATGCTGTATGGAAAACACCTTCACAGCCATCAATTGCAGCATCAAAGGAGCCATCTTCAAGCAGCTCTGCTTTGAACAAGTGAAGCCTTTCCTTTGCTCCATCGAGTTTGAGCAAGTGGTCCCTTTTTTTAGGGTTATCTGAAGGATCCCAAAAATTTCAACAATATTATAATAAGATGTTTACACAACAAACACACACACAAAGAGAGATGATGTAGCCATCAGGATCAGTTTTGCGTCAAGCTGACAAAACCAGCATGGTTTCTCGGAGAATAATAATTTGATCAGGTAAGGCTAACATGTAATTCAAAGGTTGTAAGATAAGCTGAAAGCATACATCCTGATTTCTGATCTTCAATGGATTACAGTCGATAGCCCGACATATGCTTAAGCGGATGTAAGTGGGATTTTTAGAATACCAGTTCCTTATGATTGTGTTTTGTACGTCAAGGATGATCAGAAAAAACACCAGATGATGTGGTGAATAAACAAATATTAGACACTGAAAATGAAAATCCCTAAAGGTCAATGGTCATGAAGTTGTATAAAAGTCAATTGCCTGCTAAAAACCAAAAATTGTTTTCTCCATTAAGGAAATAAGTTTTGCACTTTGACATGATGTTGCAGCTGATATATTCTACTGATGGAGTTTTCTGTGAAATGAATTTCTGGCCTCTTTTCAGTTAGCAAGTCATAATAAGAATCGATGCTCCTATATCTTGATCTTCATTTTCAAGCCCTACTAATGATGGTAAACGAAAATTCCTTGATGGCATAAAAATTGCTATGCTATAAACAGTCATCAGGTTATGGTTCTTGTAAACTGAAAGCAATTATTTTCTGGATCCTTAACTGGTCACAGATGGAGATAGCATAGCATAGTCAAACACAATTACTTCAATTGTGTAGTAGGTAAAGAAGATCAAACGATAACAATAACAATAACAATAATTGTGCACATGAGTTCTCTATTTTCAGAATTGCAAAAAGGGACACTAATAGTGGCAAGTAGAGACTTCAACATTTGGAGTACAACATTCTTGGAAGAATTCTTCAATAAGTAACTCAAAATAATAAACATAATGAACTTAATATTCAATTGGAAGAATAAAAAACCTAGACATCAAACAATAACAAGTGGGTTCATCGGATTCTGCAGAAAACATATAATAGTCGAGCAAATTCAAACACAGATTTCACTGAATGGCAAAAAAAAAAAAAAGAAACTGACTGGGATCGCGAACAGATGCTTTGACAGTGTAACCCCGCTGAAGCAAGAACTTGACGAGCCATGAAGCTATGTAACCAGAAGCTCCGGTAACACAAACCGTCTTTCCGGCACCGCTCATTTTTTTCCCTTCCGATCAAGTTAGGAGCCCTGCGACTGTGACTGGGTTTGTTTGTTAGGTAGGGGATGTGAACAAGAGCCGTTTTGGAATATCTGTCTTCTCGGTTGGTAGGTAGCAGGCAGAATGGAATCACTTCGATTACTTTTTGTAATCGTTGATTGTAGAAAACACTAAAATGGTGGGGTATGTACGTTATTGGTTTGTATGCTTTTAAGATAGAACATTAATGATCGTTAATTGTAACGGTTGACACCAGGCAGGGAATGGGGTGGGACCTCAATCCCCGTCTCCGTTGTCGATTATTTGTCTCTATCTTCGTTCTCATTTATAATCATGTCTTCATCCTCATCCCAACAGGAAACGGTGATCCCAGAAGGGGAAATGGGTCTTTTTTTTTTTTTTAGATAAGTTATTTTAAATTAAATATGTGAGAGATCATACATGTTTAAATTTCAAACATTTCAATAAACTTAAAACCAAAATAAATTCACCTAAAACAAAAAAAATTCAATTTAATTCAAAAAAACTTAAAGTCACATGTACTAAAAGATATTGAGTAATATAAAACCATATCGTGTAATATATAATACTTATCAAGTAATTGTATTTTGACTTGACATCCAAAATATTACATATTAACATTAAAAAAATAACAATTTTAGATTATAAATCTAGTTAGGATAGTTAGGAGATATGAAATTATGAATTACCGTTTTAGTTGAAATAAATAATATACATATATATATATATATATATATATACAAATTTTATTAATTAATATATATTACGGGTATGGGGCGGGGCGGGGCGGGGCGGGGAGTACTACCCGTCCCCGTCCCCATCCCCGATTTAGCGGGGAATTCCCGTCCCCTAGGGCGGGTGGATCAGTTTCCTCGACTAGTCGGATCCCCATTTCCATGCCTACTTGAGACTAGTTATGTAGACGCGGAATATAGCTGAATGTAAAATAATAATAAAAATAGTGGTTCTTGACTAAAATAGCCATTTTAAAAATTAAAATTATAAAACTAAACCTCAATTGAATCGTTTGAACAATTAACCCATTTAACATCATTTGGTACATAGAGACACCTAAATGCATATATATATATATATATATATATATATATATATATATATATATATATATATATACGCCTAATCAAATGAGAACTGAATAGTTTGTGGTAATTATAAGATCCAATATCAACCACAAATCAACGGATAAATTAGGAAATTAATAATTATGTTAGTTTTAGTTAAAATTATGATTAGAGAGCATATTAGGTATTTTTTAAAAACTTCTCTTTCCTCTCTCCTCTCTCATCTTTTCGACCGCCAATCTACGGCCGCCGGTGAAATCGGTATCACAGTATATTACAATGGATATCACATTGTGTATCTTTGTTTTTAAGGTTTGAGTTGGTATCATAGCTGGTATCACAGTATATCACAATGGGTATCACATTGTGTATCTTTGTGATTACTTGGTACCTGCCGGATTAATGTTCACCGGAGGCCGGAGATTGACGATCGGAGAGATGTGAGAGGAGAGAGGAGTTTTTTAAAAATACCTAAAATGCTCTCTAATTATAATTTTAACTCAAACTACCATATTTATTAATTCCCTAATTTATCCATTGATTTGTGTTTGAGATTGGATTTCACAGTTACCACAAACTAATCAGTTCTCCCTTGAATGGGCCCATATATATATATATATATATATATATATACGTGGAGGTTCAAACGAGAACCCCTGTGATTTACGAGAACACGAGAACAATCTAATAACCTCAAACTTTTTTAATTAATAAATTAACTTATATTAAATATAAATAAATTAATAAGGACAGTAATGTAATTAAATAATTTTTATAATTTTTATTTTATTTTAATTAGTCATAACTATCCTTTTTTTCCTGCACGTTCGTTTCCACTCTCTTCCCTCCCCTTGTGATAATTGTGTGATTGTGTAACCATAACCTATCGAAACCATGATCAATCAAGTGTAACCATAACCTATCGAAACCATGAGTAATCGTTGTGATAAATGTGTGATTGTCTAACCCTAACCGATCGAAACCATGAGTAATCGTTGTGATAAATGTGTGATTGTCTAACCCTAACTGATCGAAACCATGATCAAATTGAGTGCGCAAGTGATATTATAATAGTAATATCACATGATTATCACACCCATATCACACCAAATCGTTTAGTAGATTTCGCTCGTAATCGTTGTGATAAATGTATGATTGTCTAATCCTAACTTACCGAAACCATGAGTAGTCGTTGTGATAAATGTGTGATTGTCTAACCCTAACTGATCGAAACCATGATCAAACCGAGTGCGCTGTTATGATAGTGATATCACATGATTATCTATCCCTTTTTGGATGAACTTGCTACTTTTGGGGTGAGTGGCTATTCTGTGCTTCAAAGAATGTGCTGGATTGTGGGCAGATTAAAGCTGCATCTTGTGCAATCAGTGGTGCTGCATTCACATTGAAT